ACCTTTGTCCCTTTGGCATGAAATCTGGCTGGAAAATAGACAACCTCCTGAACTTCATCTTTTGGCCGATCTGAATTCTTGCCAAAAATTAGCTCTCTGGCAGAGGAGGCTGGGGGAAGTGAGACAAAGCAGTCACAGGAGGACGGTACAGGGGAGCGGAGACTGGCCATTCTATCTGTGTAAAATTACAAAGAGAGAGTTGAACATTGCAACCTTCACATTCTGTTTTTTGAACAAAGATCTCTTTGTTTTATTTACATGACGGGAGGATCACCTCTCCTTCCATAATCAATAAAATTTTATTCAAAGCTAATTGATTGGCTCAAGATATTCAAATACCTTGTTTTGTGTTGGGAGAAGGGAACCACCACTACCAAAATAGAACAACTGACGATAGCTCTAGACTTTCCGAATGGCAGGCTGGGGATGAGATGAAGGCGACATTATGATGACGTGTCCCTCAAAAATGGTGAGTAAAATGCTTTTATGCCACAACAGGGAGAGCATGAGAATAAGCCTCTAGCTAGCCTACTGCAACTCATTCTATAGTGCTGCCTTTAAGAACAGAATGAAATGCAATCCCTAAAGATGCTCATGGGAGCCAGCTATTCCAAGAACATAGCTGCTTCCAGGCTCAATCTACAGGGGCAGATTTTACCTCTGGATGTCGAGGGGATGGAAGTCAAGTTGCTGTATCTGAGGGACCCTGGGGACCAGGCAAAGCTGCCGGAGCCTTAAGGCCTCTCGTTCATATCCAACCAAAGAATGGTCAGAATAAACAGGGCCTTTTCAGAAGTGGCTCTGTTCTTCTTGAACTCTTTCCCAAAAGCATGAATTGGCTACAATGTCCTCAACTTGTAAACCTAACTTGTTCCAAGCTGCGTTGTGGGAAAAGTTTTCAGTATGAAAGGATTTTAAAAACTGATGTTACTGGATTGTTTTATCTGTATTCTGAATTCCACATTATGGTTTTCATTACATTCCTACAGGGCTTTGAATTGAAAGACAGCAGTCAAAAAGATTATATAAATACATATGTCAATATTTCCTTTTGAACACCCTTCAAAACCACCTTTCTGAATAGGGTTTGGCACAAGCTCTTCGTTTAGTTCCTGGAATAAACGTACGTTTGTCTCCGGCCTCAATCTTTCTCCTCGATCTTTCTTGATTCTCTTGCTTAGATCCTAAAAGTCTGCTCCCTGGGCATCCTAGGCTTTGTGCACTACATCAACACCAGCAATCCCTTTGAGGTGCCTAAATCCTTCACGCGCTGTTTGCAGCAGCCAAAGCCCCCTCCTTCCATTTTGTATCCCTTCCCTTGTGGAGTCTATGCACGGATATTGCAGCGAATCCTCCTTTGCGATGCAACACACCTTGTTTTGCTTAGCAGATGCCGTACGAGGGTCTCTCCTTAAAGATACTCTGCAACGAACATCCAGCTCTCTCTTTACACTTTACCGCCCTCAGGCTGTGTTCGCACGATACACCAAGCTACCAGCTAGCCAACCACGTTTGCCTAGCGTCTTGCGCAAACTCAGGTCATGTGGTTAGCTTACGGTCCAGAGTCCCGCGAGAACAGAGGGCTCGGTTGATTTCAGGTATAGGCGTCGTGGAAGCACAGCTTTTGGACTTTCTATTTCCGTCCCCTTCCTCTTTTGCAACAAAGGAGCAATCCGCTCCGATCATCTCCTTTTGAAATGATGGTTCTTGTTTATTTGCAATTAACCTCCCCCCACCATGTCAGTGCAAACTGCTGCGGAAAAGCAGCCCAGCTTTACAGAAGTCACATCCCGTCCGCGCGCGCTCACGCCCCTTCCCCAGCGCCCAGGGCTCCACGGCCACGCTTTCTCCCGGCCCCAATTCCTCCCCAGCACTTTAAACTCACCGGCGCCTAACGCGGAACAGCCTGATGAGGCTGGTTCTCCGGAGCCTTCTGGACCTGTCACGGCCCAAGGCCCGGGCAACGAGTTAGGGAAACACTTGGCTATGTTGACCACCAAACTGAATTACCTTTGGAGCTGGCCGGAAGCTGCAAAAAGGTATTTTTTTAAGTGAGATATTCGGTCAGTGAGCGGGACGCCAGGGGGCGCCGGCAGACTATGTTCGGTGCCGAAACCTTCAAAGTGGTCCGGCGGAACGCGCTGCTGAGCGCTTTGGGCTTTAAATTAGAAAAAGAAAATTAAATTATTATCCATACTTTTGCAAGCTGCCTGCTTGCAGGATATCCTCACCTACAGTTCACCCACCAGGCTTAGAGCCTGGCGCTGCAGCTTAAGCTGTTTTTGATGCTTGGGAAGGCAAATCCCTGAAGCACCCTCTATGGTGGCAGTTGAAAAGCTGCTTTGCAGCCAGCTGCTCTATGGTAAAACTGCCATGGCTTCACCACCGGGCTTAGATGCTACAACGCCTAAGCCACAAAGTGCCTTTTGTCCTGTAACCATGTCTAGAAGTCTTTTGGAACACTCCTGGACCCACATCAAGAGTGCCAAAGCCATGAGGGGTTGTTGTACAGCAAGGGTGCTGCTTCCCTACACAGTACACAAAACTGCCCTCTGCAGTTTTGGTGTCAAGGTGACGTTGGTTTAGCAGTCTTCTGGTAGACTTCTGAAGACATGTTTAACACACCCTTCTGGCTTTGGCGCTCCAGTGCCAAAGCTGCAGGGGGTGTTTGTGACACATTAGGTAGTTTTCAGGAAGAGCACTGGACACATGTTAAAGTGACACGTATCCAGTGGCCTTCAAAAGATATTGGGCCTATTATCAGAGAAATAAGATTGTTTGGGCTTATTATCAGAGTAAAAGATTCCACTGCCAAGAGAGAAATAGCCTGAAAATTAGGGGCCAAGCATGTGGCAGGGTCATGCCTGCTGTAGCCTCAGGTGGCCAGTACAGCAGAGCAGGCCCTTACCTCCAAACGTCCCCGAAAATGATTTGACACAAAGTCGGAAAGCACCACTTTTACATGGGCCACAGTGGATTGACGATGTTACATGTCAAAATCCTCCACAAAGACCGTGGTTGAGTAGTTTGTGGTGGTTAATGTTGTAGGAACCCAGCTCCTTTCTCAGTATATTGTGACAATCAGGCCTATCACCTTAAATCATAACTTGGTTTATCTGGGCACTGTATGTTAACACAGGAAATGTGTTTTGTTAACCTGGGCTTGGCATGTTGTATACAACCATCAGTGAGTTCCACAGACAAGTGGTAGCTTAAACCCAGATCTACTCACAGTGGTGCCAAGTAGCAAGCCACAATGATATCAACATGCATATGTCCTGACATCATTCCACAAATGGCATGATTGATATCACAATGTCTGATGTAAGGACATAAGTCATGTCATTTACATGATGTCATCAAGACACACCTGTTGTCATCTGCTTGCCCCCATGGGTGACCCCTGGTCTCAGCCTGGTGCTCTAACTACTACATAGCACTAATTTGCTCAAACCACCCTTCTCTCAGCTGGTGAACTTCAGATATATTGAACTAATTATGCCAATTATGGGAGCTGAAGTCCAATCCATCTGAAGGGCTTTAAGTTAGAAAAGGCTGCTTTAAACCATCCCTTGCTCATTTGTCCATCGATTCCTGCTGGAGTGGGGAGAACCAATTTCAGTTTCAGCTGCTCATTGGATCATGGAGTTTACTAGATAAATTTTTCACCATCTCTCAACTGTCCAGAGTTGGTGTTGTATGGATGAAAAGAAGTCACATGCTCACTGGCACTGCTTTAAGTCATAGAGGAAAGAAGTGCTAATAGATACATTAATAAAGTAAACATAATATTTTCCCAAACTTTCTTCCCATTCTGTCCTATTTCTGTTTCTCAGGTTTGAAACAAACCCCAAAGGCAGCTATTCTCTAATATGGTATGCAAACTGCACACCAGCCTTATCCAACATGGTCTTTAGCATGCTAGTTAAGAAATCTGGAAGTTGTAATTCCAATACATCACAAAGCACCAGGCTGGTGAAGCCTGTGCCATGTCATTCATTTCAGTAGCTCTGGTTTGTTTCAGTCAGGTTTGCAAAGAAAGATACCCACATGGCTAGGTCTTGGTTCTTGTCCTCTTTTATAGCAGTCCTGTTAATGGCAGTCAGGCATCAGTACCATCATCATCCCATCTCATAACAGGATCTTGGTTAGTGCTTCATATGGTGCCATCAAGAGAGAACTCTGAGGCAAAGGTTCAGGTGCACACTTAGCAGAGCAGGAGGACCCTGAAAAGGTGTGTGGTTGTCTTGCTGTATTTTGAAGTGCTGTGTTGTAACCTGCTGTGATTGTCCCAAGTAGGAACATGCAAAACATTTCAAATTCAAACTGTTTTAAATCCAGAGCATCCCCTTTTGAGTAGGAAACAATTTCCTCAAGTGCAAAACAGTTGTTTTACATTTGAAATGTACTGCTTTGGTCATTTTGGAAGTGTTGAGTGTGAAACGAAGTTGTTTTTAAGCTTGAAATGCTTCAAAATGGGATTGAACCAGTTTATTTACCTGTTTCACACTTGAAACAATTATTTGGAACTTGAAATGCCTTTCCAATTTGAATCTGAAATGTTTGCATGCCACTTGTTGGGAGTCAAAATTGCTACCTGCACCACTGTCTGCCTAACCACAGACAGAGGCAATGGTTTCATGATAAATCTTTTCTGTAAACCGCCCAGAGTTGCTTTTTAACGAGATGGGCGGTGACAAATTTGATATAAATATAAATATAAATATAAATATAAATAAAATAAAATTGAAAACAGTGGTGAAAGTATAAAAAATAGCTGGTTCACTGAAACTGTGGTTTAATAAGCCATGGCTTGTTAAATCACAATGGCCCGATTCATACAACAGGCTAAACCATTAATCAAAAAAATTGCATTGCTCCTTAGGCATGTTATGTGAACCATGTCAGTGACATGAGTAGCAAGATAA